ATCTAATTGGCTAATTGTTTCCAGTTACTTAACATTTAATTAAGGAAAAAAAAACCATAATTCATTATTTTGTGTGCTTACTTCTGAGCTTCTAGCAACAAGATCCCATTAAGATTCTTTGTTATATCTTTAAGACAAACGTGCGACAATCCGAGTGAGGAGCAAACCGCAAGCAACATGCCATGTCGCATGCAGGCACACAATAAACATGTTGAGCGCACACGCCTATGGCAGCACGCGCGATGAGCACATACAACCCACACCAAGGAAGAGGTCACATCTTCAAAAGAGGAGTCACAACCATGAAGAGGTTGGGGGTCATTCCTGCAAGGCTTCCCGTCAAGTAAAGGCCCAAAGAAGGAATGAGTTTGACCCACCCAAGTGTTCTTTAATGGGCTCAGGTTTGGATCCATATAAGGAGGGCCAAGAAGATCTGCTTAAAAGGAGCTCAAACAAGGTGAAGAGAATCTTAAACCAAATCAACAAAGCCCAACTTGAAGGGGCTCTCAAAGGCCCAATTCAGGAAGCTAAGGAAGGACTCGAGGAGCATGAGGCCTTTATTACCCAAGGAGAAGCCAGGCCAAGGCCTTTTGGCCAAGAGGGCCCTCGGCCAAGAAGGGTTACACAAGTTGACGGCCTTGCCCGTATATGCGGGCTTGCAGATGTGCAGAAAGGGCAGCCTACACAATGCGGGAGACCCGCACACATGAGGGCAAATTGCACTTACTTCCTGTTCCTTTTGTGAGTTGAACTTTTATAGATTTCTTCTTCTTCAACTTGAGGCCAAGATGAGTTATGGAGGTTAGGACTCTATTTAAGGAAAAAAAATCAAGGAGAAAAGAGTCATTGAATGAGCAATACGCGACAAAAGCCAATCTTAAAGGTTCTCTTGTGCGGGTTGAGTCCTATTGCGAATAGGGACTTTATTTCTCTTATTTTCCACATGTTTTGTGAAGATGGCAGGAAGAAGAAATATAAACATGGAAGAATCCTAAAGACAAATCTAAGGAAGAGAGAAGCTTCAACTATCCTAGATTATTATTTTATTATTTTGTTGATTATTTAATTTATTATTTTAATATAAGATTAGGATAAACTATTATTTTATTAATTATTTTAACAATATTTTAACATAGGATTATGATAAATTATGATTTAGGTAGAGTTTAAATTAAATTCAAATACTCGCAATTATTTAGAATTCATCGGGTGAAAGCCTATATAAAACCCTCATCTCAAGCTATAATATATATATATATATATAACTTCATATTTGAGAATAAAATTTTAGCTTTTGCTACTAATTTAACTCTGTTAACTTTTTAGTGTTCTTCAAGGGAGATTGTTTCAAGTAACTTGTTAAGCTATGAAATCTTGAATTGACTTATTGAATAAGTCGTGATATTTTTTCAATTCTTTTTATTTTTTCAGTTATCTTGACAGCATTCATTTTATTGGATGTTATTCAAGTAGGAATGGTCTAATTTAGGTAATTGAGTTTCTACATATTAAGTATTGTGGGTTCATGATTAAGGTATTTTTTATTCTAGAGTTTCCTATATCAACTTTAGGAGAACTGTAAGGAAGATTAGAATAGAGGCTACACTCTTATTAGTTTGAAAACTCCAAAGTAAGCCAAGGGTGATGGGAGGTATATCATTTTGGAACTTCAAAAAACTTAATTCGGCTTAAGTGAGCAAACTGGTCTGAGAGCTAATCAAGGAAGAAACATCTCTCTATGTACAAAGTTGTAAAATCCAAGTACCCAAGGCGAAAAACTTTCTCTATGCCCTAAGAGGAAAATAATATTCCTTTTTGCGAAGAACTCTTAAAAACTAGAAATTTAGTCCAAAAAAGAGTACGCATAACTACTAGGAACGGGGATTCCTAATTCTGAAAACTTTGTTCTCAAGCCGGTGGCTTGCCTGATGAATGTGTCAGTCGGTTAACTCATGGAGTAGAGAACCAGGGAGTAAAAAAAAAAAAAAAAAGAAAGATAAAAAATCAAACTCTCCCCAGGTCAGTCCCTTGGCAAATGGATTTCGACCCCAACCTCTAATGGTCAATATGCTATTAAATCTGGATACAAGCTCTTCAATAATTTTCCATCTATACAAACATGAAGGAGAAAGCAAAACATTTGTAAGTTAAACATGGAAAGCTCTTTAATATTTTTCGTAATATGAAATTATGAAGCTAACATGGAATAAGTTTTTTACGGTGGAGAATATATTAACGCATTGTTTACCGTGTGTTTCTAAAGATTCTAATAAGAATCCCCAATCATGTATATTCTATAGAGCACACAAGGAGATGCCTATGATCTATTCTTGAGGTGCCATATTGTCAAACTGTTGTGGTTTAGCTCAATATGGGGCCTAAGAATTGAATCTTTAAACGTCAGCTCTACTTTGGATGTCTTAAATTTTATTTTTAATATGGAGAAATTTGACAATAAATTCTATTATATGCATCCACCATTGTCACAGATCAAGTATGAAAATGGAGGAACAACTTGAGTGGCAAACTTGGTATAATTGTGGAGGCATAAAAAGACAGTCTTAATTATATGGTAAAAATAAAATTGATGATTATGACGACGACGACGACGACGACGATGATGCAGTTAATATACATGAATGCATCCACCACTGAATTTTCCATGGAAGCGACGGAAATGAAAGTGTGATCGTGACATAAGTAGAGACATAAAGAGAAAGACTGATTGAGATGGCATCCCCACCTATACATACATATCGTACATACGTAGATATATATATATATATCTCAATATGCATAAAAGTGAAAGATATATCACGTGATATGCTTCAACTCCATTAGGCAAATACTACCTAGCCAACCTTCAATCATCCCTAAAACCAAACATTACTCTTTGATTGCGTTATTATATATGTACAAATATATACATATACATATATACACACACACACACGCATATGCTTTTCCTTTTTTTTATTTTTCAATTATAAGTTATCCCCACAAAAATCATTGTGCATGAATACTCATATCAATGAGTGTGTTGAGAATATTGATCATCAACTAGGGTAGAATATTATTGAACTTGAAAATTTAATCTAATTTTCAATTTATTTTTTCATTTTATGTAATATTTTGAATGAAATTAAGACTCGATTTTATATAAAATAAATATTTTATTTTTTCCAAATGCAATTGACGAAATAAACTAAAACAGTCAAATCATCAACTCCCAAAAACATCATATATCTATATATATATATATATATATATGAGAGAGAGAGAGAGAGAGAGAGAGAGAATGGGTTTTGGGTAATAATAATTTGTGAATTTATATATAGAAAAATATTTGTATATGTATGTGTGTATATATATATATATATATATATATATCCAATTCAATGAATGGCATATATAATTAAAGTAATGATGAGAATGAGAAACAAATTGATAGAGGAAGTAGTTAGTTTGAGGTAGCTGTAGTAGTTCCAAAAAGTATATCACATTTGGTTTTTCCTTTTAATTTCTTATTCTTCCAAATGGGACCCCACTACTACATGCGTCTTAGATTTGAGTGAACACCAAATGAGAGAGAGGCATATGAAAGTCAATATTTGAACCCACGGGACATATATATATATATATATATATATATATACACACATATACATAATATAATTAATTAGCTAGATGACCTTCTTTTTTTCCCTTTTTTTTTTTTTTTTTTTTTTTTTTCTCTATGTACGTGAATATCTATACAATTTATTTATTAAATGTTTCCTAATTACACTTCTAGTACTGAGAACATGGCTCAAATTATTAACACCAACTAAAATGTAAGTCACCATATTAATGATTGAACAAAAATGAGAAATAATAGAACTTAAAACTATTTGAACTAATAGTGGTCCTGATAATCAACTCAGAGATATTTTCATATGAAGAAAGATGCTGTATAATTCATCATATCTTAATCATTATAAAATTAACTCTTTTGAAGGAAACAGAATATACTGTACGTAAATTTATAATCACACCAATCTAAATCCCACATCCCTCCTTTGACATCATCGTAATCATGTACTTTAAAATCAATAAATTCATTAATTTACTCTGGATTATAATCATGCAAAATTAAGGGGTAACAATAAGGAGAATCATATGAGGAAAATTCAACAGAAAAAATAAATAAATGAAATTTGGGTAAAAGCCAAGTCATGAATCTAAACTGCCAAGTTATCAGAATCCCTATCATATCTTTAGGGCACATGCCCTGCCCTAGCTACTTGACAGTTGATGATTAATCAGGAGATTCTCCTACCCAACCATTTTATGAATATGAGTTGGGTTAATTATATATATACATATATCTTATCTTCCTTTTAGCTAATACTATTGATAACTAAATAACTAATGTGCCTCTTACCTAAATTATGTGGCCTTTCCTTTTGGGACAAACGGACCAAAAAAAATCAAAAAGAAAGAGGTTAAATGAAGGTGGGCCGAATGGGTGAATGTAAACAACAGGGCATGACCCTAAGCCCCTTTTCTAAAATAAGTAAAAGAGCACATGGGAAACCCTTGCAACAATCAATTGGTATCTATCTACTCCCTGTACGAACTTATGATAAGAGCAAATATAACCTCAACCGCCCATATCATCTATCTCCATACCATGTGGATATAATTACGGTGGCAGTGTCGTCTATGAATACATACATGTATATACATATATATATATATATATATGCACATTGAATTTAAAGGCTTAATCCAGATAACCAGAAATGAAGTACAATTTACTTAAAAATTCGACTTAATTCAGTTGACACAAATATATTTCTAATCTTAATCACTTAATTTGATTATTGTAATTTGATGCTCCGAAATTACAAGAATCAAATTATCATGCAACAAAATATTCAGAATATACTCCCGACAACAAAGTATCATGCAATAGTTTATTTTTCCTTGTTAAAAATGTATTAGTCTGTAAATCGTAATAGTTGAATATCATGTAACACTTCCTCATTAACTTCATCTCATTATATAACTCCTGTCTTGGTCAAAAAGGAGAACAAAAATCTTTTAAGCCTCCTTTATCCCCCACAAAGAAAAGTCTGGAAGTGTAAAGCCCTACCAAAACTGGAAAGAGGGTATTATATATACATGTACTTGAATCAGTAAATGTTACAATGACAATTCAAAATACTCGGTCGAAAAGAAAATGTTCGTGTTGGAGTATAGACTAACCACAGGACAAATTATTGGCGTTGTATGGCTCACGACCAGTGAGGTGATCAGGCTGCATGGGGAAAAGAATTATCTAACCAGTCTTGCATTCCCACACCTGAGCAATCTCTAGAAGCAATTTATAAAACATCATTCAGGAAAAATAATAAATTTGGTTAAAGATATAGAACGTGATATTGTGAGATCAGCAGTAATGACATCAACTCGTGCTTAAAATCCTTGAGTAAAAATCCCATGATGGGTCTGATTCTGTAATAGCTCGTTGACCAAATGGATTTTGCTCAACGAACTTCTGAACATTCTCAGCAACAGCTAGCCTTTCTAGATATAACCTAAGATCGCCTTCAGGTCCTGTTGTAATTAAGCATGAGCAGGCAAAGAAGAATAATGATCATGATTGTTATAAAAAATGGGGAACTCCGTTATTGTCCTCTTGAACAGATGCATAAAGCATTAAATTAAATAGCAGAACTATGCTTTGTAAAGGAAGTGGAAGCATACAAAAGCTCATGGGCAGAGTGCAAGAAATATCAACTGTCCTCCAAAATCTAAAATCTAACAGCATAGATGACCACTAACTGAATAATGCAGAAACTGATGGAAAAAACAAAGAATGAAGCAAACAATTCAAAGTCACTCAAGATAGTTACGAAAATATTTTATCCAAATATCATTTGTGTTTGATTCAATTCCCATTCGATTCCTACTTAATTACTAGTTCCAGTTCTCATCTTTCTGCCTTAATATTCATAATGCAGAACATAATTTGTAGTGTTTGAGTTATCCTAACTTCCCTTTGAATTCCTTGATGGTGAAAATTCAATTCCTAAATTTCAAGGTCGAAGTTGAATTCTCACCACCAAAAGAATTGGCTGGGAACTGAATATGGAAAGCCAAACACACCATGATAGTTATCCTGGGTCAAAAGCTTATGGACTGTACATTGGTTCCAGTTTTTCAAAACAGATATATTGAGGATGTGAAATATCTCACCTAATGAAGAATCCCGAACATCCTTATACTGGTAGGAATAGGGAAATAATCCTGTGTGTGCCTAAACAATGAAAAAGTTGGCTCAGATACGAGATCTAGGCTATATCCAAAGTGATGAGCAAGTCATAAAGCCAAAAATAATAATAATATAGAGCACAGATTTCAGTACTTACTGGATTGCGCAAAGCCTTGTAAGGGGAATCATCCACCAACAAGGTGTTTGACTCATTATATTCTTGATTTACCAAAGAAGGATGATGTCCAAGATATTCCCACAAAACTTTCAGTTCCTTCAAAACAAGAGGTTTATCTTTATTGTCAATAGTCTGCAATCCTGTTCTAGTACAGTGAGATGCATCCTGCAAATAACCCAGATGGTCGGTCTTTAAGATTCACAGATCTTTATTAAAGAAAATACAACCAAAGTTACTACTACAATCAAGAGGATGAGTCGAGAACTTCAATTAAAAAACAAAAGCTAGTGCACCAGTAAATTAGAGAATGTATCTTCTAGTGAAAATAATTCTCTTCAAACAGAATACAGAGTTGCATGCAATATTCATAATACTCCAGCACATGCAAACAGACAGCAGAAAGGAATGATTTAGAACTTTGTAAAGAAGTATAATGCAAAACATGCCAAGAAAATAAGACGGCTTTCTAATGATTCTCATTTGCAATAGGCTATCTATTTAGTCCTCATTTCAGAAACATTTAACAGCAACAAATGGCAATCTTCTATCAAAAATCAGCGCAGTTGACATGCTCAAAATTGACTTACCCAACAGAACAGCAATTTGTGTTGTGTATCTCTGAAAAGAATATGAACCAAACTGTCAACATTTTTCCTGCAAAAAATATTCAAGACAACAGTGTCGTCAAGCCATAAATGGATCATAACTCGGAAAAGTAGAAGAGAGATTTTTTCTGAGGCATAATGTAAAAAACTACTTTTCAAAAGAAACTGATGTAGAATAGGAAACTCATAAAGTGGACATATTTCAGTAATAGGAAATATGAGGTAGAATCAACAAAGGGACATAAACATTTTGAGAAGTCAACTAAAAGAATGAAGATTTAATTTCCTTTTCTAAGTTAATTAAAAGAAATAGGAATATGTAATTTCCTTCTCTATGTTTCAGGGAGTTTCATGTTAAAAGAAAATAAGATGATTTGTTTTCCAATTTCTTATATTTTTTATTTCTCAACTCCTTTCTATTTAACTTATTTTTCTATTTACTAGGTTCTTTAGATTTCCTATTTTTAATATATCTGGCGCCTAAACAAAAGTTACCTAGTTTAGTTATAAGGTAGACTAGTAAATTATTATTCAAATATTAAGATATATATTGATTATTGAGATCTGAGGTCTTCAAATTTTGTTCTTAATAAATTTTCCCAAGCTTTATCTTCAAGTTCTCCTTGTTCTACTTCAGTTGGTATCAAAGCCTAAACTTGATTCATCATGGTTCCCTAAGTTCTCCACAGTTCAGTTCCCAAAATACTCCATCTGCTTCTTGCATATACACACCGTCTCCCCTTTTCTCCATAGAACAGCAAAAAAAACCATAAACTATAAAAGCAGGTCAGCTTGTTTGCCGGCTATCGCCAGGAGGTGGTTGACACCGCCTTCAGCATTAGCTTCAGAAGTTCCCGGTTGGCGAAATCCCAAAACCCCAGTACAAACAACTCTTGAGGTTTTTAGAAGTGCTCTTCATTTTTTGAGTTAGTTGGCTAAAGTTCTTGTTCACTATTTACCCTTGCAAATTGATATTGGACAAAATGTGTTTGGAGTTAAGAGGAAGATTGGATGGATTTCAAAATTGAGTAGAGTTCTTTTAGTTACGTTCTATCAAGTATATGGTTTAGTTACAAATAACTATATGCTTTATACAAATCTTTTGATCAATATGGATATGTGGAGAAAATTAAAATCAATCGACATTCTACACAATTGCAAACTTTTGTGACATATAAACTTTATGAAGATCCTCTTTTTTTTAAAATAAAAGAGAGAAATATTATTCACAAAGGTACCAACAGGGTACTACCTGTATACAAAATAATTACATATCTATCAAGTGATTCATATCTAATTCAATATCTTCTCAATCATGCACATCATGACCTAATAAAATAGACCTAAAAGTATAAAATCATTTATTTCTAATGTTTATAATATTAGTTTCAATGCCCTCGAACGCTCTTGCATAAGATTCTCTGAGGGCATAATAAGGTTCTCTCTAAAGATATTACTTATAAGATAGATGTAAATAAGGTTCCCAACCTGCACTTTATGAAGATGCTCTTAAGGCATAAGATTCTCTCTAAAGATATTACTTATATGATAGATGTTATCAAATGGAGTTCAATATTATCTTCCGATGTCTAAAATAGTGAAAACAAGTGCTCCACCTCCAAATAAAAAGTCATAAGAACAACATGACACTTCTTATTCTTTATAAAGTTTTCGAAGATATGAAGCTATCCAAGATTTAAATAATTTTTCTTTTGAAATAAAAGCGTGAATAATATTAATAGACCCCAAAGGGTTGTCCACCAGTATACAAATATTTATATATCTACAAACATGTAAATAAGGTTCCCAAAAATCCTTCATTGAATACAAATGATGACCTAACATAAAAAAGCCAAGGGTATAAAACCATCTATTCCTAATTCTACTAAAATCTTTCTCATCCTCTTACCCCTCAGAAGCTCTTCTATTCCTCTCATTCCACAACTCCCAAAAAATAGTAAGCGAAATAATATCAAAACACTTCCTCTGCCGACTTATACTTTTCCATGCCCAAATTTCATCTCTAACCGATCCAACCATCCATAGCTGATACCCAATAGTACCCATAACTTGCAAGCTATCAGGCACCACAAGAGAACATGATTACAAGTCTCTGAAGCTCCTTTACACAAATAGTATCCATTCACCATAATCTCTCATTCTCATCAATTTATCAATCGTCAGAATATAACCTCTACTGGCTTCCCATGCCAAAAAAGATACCTTGGGTGGAGCGTTAACCTTCCATATCTGTCTAAAAGGAAACTCGCTACCTCCATTTGCTTATTTAGTCAAATGCTTAAAGAAAGAGTTAACCGTAAAAGCTCTAGATTTAGTAATGCTCCATAAGGGTTGATCATCACTGCTGTCCAGGACAATGAGACATAAGGTACATAGGAGATTCTTGTATTCATTGATCTCTAAATCATTGAGGTTTCTCTGTACATCTATTTGCCACTCCTTAGCTCCTCCCCTATATCTTTGAAAGGTTCACTCACTAGAATGTCTTTCTGTTGAGCTATGGCGAAAATCTGCGGATACTGGTGTCTCAAGGCTCCAGCATTTAACCACGTGTCGAGCCAATAATTGAGTTTTCAATCATTGAGGTTTCTCTATACATCTACCTGCTACTCCTTAGCTCCCCCCTTATATCTCTAAAAGATTCATACACCATCATGTCTTTCTGTTGAGATATGTCAAAAATCTGCGGATATTGATCTCTCGCCCCACCTTTCAACCACGTGTCAAGCCAAAAACTAACTCGGTTACCCTCTCCGACCTTCCATTTGATACAAGACTGAAAACTGGCTTTACCCATACAAATATTTATCCACAAACTTTTCCATGTGGCCTTGTCAATGATCTTTTTCTCAATGATCTGATGAATCATCCTTTCTCATCTCCAACATACTTCATTTCAGTCACCCTTCTCCACAATGTTCCCTCTTCTTGCATGAACCTCAACAGCCATTTACCTTGCAAAGCCAAAATTCATATCCATTATAAAACTTAACCCTAATCCTCCTTGAGTGAGAGTTTTCTTGATCTCCTCTCATGCTACTAAGTGGAATCTTCTTCTTTCATCTGAATCTCCCCATAAAAATCTACTTTGTATGGCTTCCATTCTCTTGGCAAAAATCGTAGGAATAGTGAACAGGAACATGCAATATATGGGTAATTGCCTAGGTGCTTTTAGTGAACATCAATTTCACACCTTTAGATAGAAAAGCACGTTTCCATTCTGCTAGCTTCTTCTCTAATCTACTCATCACTGGATCCCAAGCACTTAGCAATTTCTAATAAGCCCCAACTGATAACCCCTAACACCCTTGCCAACCTTGCGATACCTTTTCATTCCCCAAGATTTAAGTAATAAGATTGATATATATGAACTGGTGATGAAAAACATAAAGAAACTCTTGAATATTCAGTTGAAAAAACCTCACATATCCTAAACACCAGCAAAGTAAGAGGAACAAATAAAGGATGAAAGAGTGAATGAATTGGTGAATGAGCAAAATCTTATAGAAGTCCTGAAACCTAATGATAAAGAATTGACTAATAGTATTGAAGTTACAACTGAGATATTTGGGATGAAGAGATTGCTAACAAGGTTGTTATTCATACTAATCAAGCTGAGTTTCCGAGTAACAAATCTCTCGATTTAGTTTTAAGCAATGTTGTTGAGGCTGAAAACGACGATTGTTCTTGCTAAAAAGAAAGAGGCCCTATCTAAAGAAACTGCTCTACATTTTTTGGCTCCTAAAATAATGAGGAAAGTTTGACTATTCTCCCTTTATAGATTTTGTCTCTAAATTGGTTCCCTATATCTTTAGAATCCTTTATTTCAGAAGCATTCAAGTTTTCTCATTAAAATTTCAAGTTCTGCAAGCTTCAATTATTAAAAAGTTCTGAATTTGAGATTCTTTATACTTCCATATCTCAAAACTCGATATCAAGTTTTCACTAAGTGGGGGAGAATGATACAAAATAGTAAGATCATAAAACGGACATATCTCAGTAATATGAAATATGAGCTAGAATCTAAATGAATATAAATGTTTTGGGAAGTTAACTAAAAGGAATATGAAGATTTAATCCTTTTTCTAAATTAACTAAAAGAAATAGGAATATTTAATTTCCTTTTCTAAGCTTTGGAAGTTTTATAATAAAAGAAAATAGACTCTGTAAAACAGCCTTGAATCATGCTACCATCTCCTCTTGGGCTATCCAGTCTCTCACAAGCTATGGTCCAGTGTCTTGGGTCTTATGGGTATTTCTTGGGTAACTTGCGGTTCGGTCATTAAAGAACTCCTTGCTTGGGAAGGCATAAGCAAAGTAAAGAAAACTCTCAGATTAATTCTTATCACCATCTTTGGGTTCTTTGGAAAAAAAGGAACAATTGTGCATTCAAAGACAAAGAGACTGACTTTAGTATTATCATTAATAGTTGGTTTTAAATATACACTCTCCCTCTAGTTTTCTCTCTACCTATTCCAAACTAGTGGAAATCTGGTCGGCCGATTAGACTGACCGCAATGTAAGAAAAGACATGAGTATGTTCGGAAGAAGATTTTTAGCAACTGAGAATAAATCTTTCGATCTGGTATACGACGGGAAAAGGGTGGATTGTATTCAGATCACTGAGAATGGGCGCGGCTTTAGGCGCTCGATCTTTCTAGAGAAAGACGAATCTGAGTGGTTCTTGGAAACTCTTGACGAGTTCTGGTGGAGGAAAAAGCCGAGGTGTTGGGCTAAACACTTGGTGAAGAGGAATTACGAGTTATGGCTTTCATTTGGGACAAATAGAAGGGCGAATATCTTGCGCTAACAATGCAAGGGGGTCTTAACACAAAGAGGATTTTCTTTTCAAGAGGATTTCAAGGGAATGGATGGTGTAAACTGATGGTTGCTAGATATGAACTTGGGAATAGGCCTGTGATATTCCCTAATTCAGAAACTGAAAAAGATAAAGAGGAGAGAGAGAAGTCCAATGGAGAATCAGAATAAGGTGAAGCAACCGTTGAAGATTTCCTTCCCATGCCCGCA